ACGCACTATCTTCTCCATATCGAATTGGTGGTTGTGTACGTATTATGACACCGCCTTTCGTTATAGAAGATGGAATTATCAAACACTCATTGTGGCATAATACTCCATCGGATTACGCACGGATCTCTCCATAATTTACGTGTGGGCTGAATACTGCCAGGTTGACAAGGTAGGTGAAGTTTCTTGCGGATTTCACAACCGGAGCGTTCGATTAGCCAAACTTGACCCGCAAGGCAGCGGGGTAGTGTGAGAAAATCGGAAATTCATCGGATCATACACCCTTTAGACAGGGTTAAACGTCCAAGGTGCCTAATACACCTCGATACCCACTCAAGCCGGTGATGATTGTCACAGCCGGGAAAGTGTGTGATTCGTACACCCCCTCTTGGTTGGTTTAGAATCAAGGATTTCAGTCATGTTCTCTAGATGAACTACCAATGGTCCACCAACCCGGATGTCGGCTTTTCGTCTTCTCACTTTAGTGGGAAAACACCTCCGCCACGGAAAGGCAGTGATTAGGTCTTCCTCAACAGAGACACTTGGTCGTATGGGAGCATTTCCCGAGGTGCAAGAGGAGGGTGACCAGCCACAACCCTAGACACCCATCACCGACAGTAATGACGCTTTCGAATCATGGCACCATCTCTCTCTCCTTTTATACTCTTCCTTCAGTATATCTTCGTGTTGGCCGTATTTTGTTTCTCTCCGCTTCACGACAATCGACTTACCATCAAATTACAATCTATCAGGTCGGATGTGCTGTCTGCGATATTCATGGAACATTTCATATTCAATAGTCTAAAATGTGTGCTCACACAGGATCCCTGGATTGTCGGTTGCGAGCATCTGTGAGCGAAACGCCCCAGGCCCACTCCAGACATGGCATTGGGGATTGTTTACTTTAATAAAATATCGCGTTTATAACGACTTGCGGTGTTAGAAATCACTCCAAGGAAGCCCATCCTAACCAACAAATACCTTACCCTATCGTTGGAAATGATGCGGAATGATTGTGGCTCGGGATGTGGATGTTGGTGTTGGTGAGTTCTCCGAGCTGGAAGTGTTGTTCGCAGACTTTTCGCATTGGTGTTGTTGGCTACAAAGCGTCTACGAATAACACTTCCAGCTCGAAGAACTCACCAACGCCTAATTTCCTTATCGTAGTTCTACGTGGGTGCTAAATGATAGATAATTTACTTGTCTTCTCAGTTTCATTCAGTGTTTTTCAATAATCCTCTGCAGTATGTAGATCCATTTTAAATTCTGCAGTATTATCGGAGGTGGTTATCCTAGGTTGTAACTGGTCCCCATTCCCTCACACCTTGCAAAATGCTCCTATATGGCTAAGCGTCTCAAATGGCCTCTACTAAGGAAGCCCTAATCACTGCCTTCTCGTGGCGGAGCCGTTTTCCTGCCAAAGTGAGAGGACAAAGAGCCGACATCCCAGGCTATAACCGGGTTGGTGAACCACTGGCAGTTCACCCAGGGGAGCTGGTTAAAAACCTGATTCCAAACCAAACAAGAAGAGGCGTAAGAACCACACGCGCGCTTTCCTGTTTGTGACAGTGGTCACCGGCTCAATTGAAAATCAAGATGTATTGGGCACTTTGGACGTTTGATTCCGTTCAAAGGGCGTATGATCCGATGAACTGGATGCCGGCCCTAATGGACTGCGGACTCTGAGCTCCGTCTTATTATCTTGCAGGCCAAAGGCTTCGGGTGGGAGTCCCCCGAGGTTATCCCCCTTCCTGGGTCAGGGCAACCGGGAAGTAACATGCCCAAGCAACCTATGAACACAATACAATTCTACATTTTTCTTTGTTCGTATGTCGGGGCACGTTTGCCAGTGCTCTGTAATTGGTTACGTGTTAAAGTAATAAACTGAGAAGAGAGGTACGTAACCAACCACACACATAACTTACTGGTTGTGGCAATGGTCATTAGCTTGACCGGGCTTTGAGCATCATGGTTTTAAGGCTCCGAGTGTCAATCTTCCCAAAAATTCATCTGCTTTGGCCTTGCCGTATTACGCCCATTGGCAATCATGGATCAGTTTGACTATTGTACGGTAATTTGTCTGACAGTGTGAAATCGGGCGCTCACGGGCTCACGGAATACATACGTACGAATCAACCGAGGTGCGGCAAAGCGATTTCCACATTACACCTGAAATCAACCGAGGTGCGTGTGGTGATCCGGGCCTACGAAATGATGTCTACCCTGGAGCGACGCGTTACAGTTTTAGGACAGCTATGATTTATCACATTTCATGGGCGACGTCAGCAAAGCGCATACATGTCACTGCTTCTGGACTATATACTATAGGTAGACTGTACCAGCCAATCAGAAACTTTGCGGCCCAGATAGAAGCGGAACGACGACAGAAATATTGGAACACGATTGGTAGAAGCCCAGATGACCAATGATCTTGTTTTGTACATATTTAATCTCCCTTATTTCTTCAACTAAACGAACTACTTCTGTGGCCTTTTCCTCTGGTCTCGGTTACTTGGGACATTGTGTGCAAGTGCCAGTGCTTACGCGATCCAGTCCTTGATTGCTAATCCTTAATTCGTATTCCGTGATCCGCACTGCGTCGTTCGTATTCCGAATTCACTGCGTACTACTACCATCACTACAACCACTACAATGCGGCAAAGCGATTTCAACAGTACGGCTGGCATTTCAATTTCTTTATTCAAGTTGGCACAGAAAAAAAGTTATGACACTTTGCTTTGATTACTTGTTGAATGGTTTCGCTGAAGGATTCCGTTTAAGCGGGAGAACGTGTATAATTTGTAAAATCCATCATTAAGTGTTCCAAATGACATTCACCATACAGAGTCACAAACAGTTGATGTTTATCACTGTCAACTATAAAAGACGATAAAGCTACCGCGAGGTAGCTTTATCATTTCGATCATATGTTCATAATTCTTCATTGTGATGTTCCTGGTGCGCACTGTGTGCAGGCTAAGGTTGGGCCACCAATATGTGAATTCTATCCGTGGATGAGTAGGTTTTCTGTCAATTGAACAACCTGTGTTTGTGTCAATTATTCAACCCGGAACAAGTAACATACAGACTATTTTCATCATGATCCACTGCCCCTGCCTGTTTTATATCTTCACCATATTATGACTTGTGTCATGTGCTACTCTTAGGCCACCAATGGGTTTATTGGTGCGTGTGCGTTCCGTTCAAACATTATCGATCAGATTGTCCAGTCAGGCATTTGTACAGCTCCCATCAACGAAATACGTGGTATTTTCTGACATAACCATGCCGCTGTCTCCTTCGAATTCTGCTCCGCTGAACAATCCACCACCGGCACTCCGATTACATCAGATTCATTCGAAAATGCCTTTTGGACACACAAACTATGTGCCGGAAGAGGAGACACGAAATCTCCGGGCAAATTTCCCCGAACCGGATATATTACAAACATTCAAAGAATTGGCTGGTGCAGATCAAAAACGTGAGGATACGGTGGACACAAGTGAACCACTCTTGTTGAGCAAAGAGGTCACCATGGAGTATTGTCAGGATTTGTCAACTAATTCCCTGTCACATCCAGATTATCGAAAATTAGCCTGGCACAATACACAGGGGGACTATGAGGATTCTGTGGATTTTAGCAAACGAACTAAAGTGAAAAAAGTGACCAGTCCAACCTCGTATTATTTGGGCGAGAAAAAATCCTCCTCACCTTCGGAAATTTCTACTCCACAACTGGAATCACGATATCGATTTGGGAATGCAATTCCGTTCTGTTTAAATCCACAAGCGGCCTATCTCATTCAGCATGCCACAATTATGGGTCAACGAAAACGAGTTGTTCGGGAGCTGGGAACCAGTGTGGTCTATCTGAATGATCGAAACCATTTCCGAACGTTAGAGCATCATTTGAAAGCACGCTGGGAACGTAGGGGTGATTTGGAGCACAAAATTCGCGCCAGTATTGAATATCAGAAGTCCAGGAATGCAACGCGGGATGTGGTTAGAGATCTGTTGCCATCGATTCAGAGATATACTACCGAAGAAAACAGAGGGTCTAAACAGAGTAAAAAGAGTGCCGAGAAATTTCCCGATTATTTGCCAGATGTTCATCAGTCAGACCTTAAATCACAGAAATCGAAAGAGTAAGTTTTGGTCTATCTTGTTCCTCTGGTACAACTGGTACGTTGTAATTTGGCATCGCATTGTGTGATATTTGGTGAATTGAGTGAAATTGATCGTTAGAGTGTGAGTGGTTGGCAGGCATTTGTTGCGAATGGGCCATAGTTGGCCGTTCAAACTCCCTTGGACTGACAGTGTCCAATAGCAACAGTGAACATCAAGGGTACGATGTTCGAACTAAACAAAACTGAAAACCAAACAAACGTGGCTGACCATCGAGATATGTTGGCTATACAGCCTACGAATAACAACATTCGACTTGAAGCTGAAATAACGCGCCATCCTCGAACTAGTTGAACAGGATTCTGTTTTCACCTTTTTAGATCTAGCACAAATACACCGTTTTACCACAATCTTGTGAATCATTCAAAAGTAGTACATTTTTGCATACTCCTTAACCCGATTTTCACGGCCTCATTCTTTACATATTTGATTCAAAGGCAATAAAGCGCACTTTGGAAGATGTAAACCAACATATTGCTCTGTTGTACTAACCCATAGTCCGTAAAATGTAGATGAGTGTACGCTTGCGATTTATTCGTTGTCAGCCTACGAAACTATACCGTCAGGAATTTGAAAAGTTCGTAAATTCCAGGAACTACGATATAGAATCAGTAGTCAGTAGTCAGTTATTAAGGGAATCATTTGAGAGTATTGTGATTAAATAGACTGGATCGATGAAGAGTACATTACTTGCTCCCAACACCTATAATTACCTACTGTTTTTATTCAAAAGGCAAAGCCACTATGTATCGAACAAAGTTGTAATCTTCTATGTTTCCCTCATTTTAATATTAGTACTATGCATTCAGTATTCCACTCTTTTTCCGTTTCAAGTGTCTATAGTCATCTCGAACCTTTTTCCTTTCTTCAGGGAAATGTTTCTAACACAATTACAGTCCATTAATTCCAGATATTTATCCATTTAACTGGAATGTTCGGCTAAGCACAGATTTGAGTATATGGTGTCCACCCTAATCTACAACGGTTTTAGAGATAACGACGCTCCCAAAAGAGTTGACGATTCAGACTAGATTGTAAATTGGATGCTGAATCCGTTCGTGGTGACGCAGTGGTATAGTCGCTAGCACCGGTGTGCACTGGACCCCATGGTCCGAGGTTCGAGCCCCGCTACCGCCGCCCGACTTTAGTGGTAGGCAGCTCTGCTGTCGTCCGGTTCAATACCGCGCCCAACCTAGGGGGGGCCTTATGTGGTTCGCCACTCCAAGTCCCGGGGCTAAGTCAGCCGATTTCCACCAATAAACGGGAGGTTCTCTTGGCTATGGGGTGCACCCCCGTCTGCTGTTCATCACACTTAGGTGTGTAATAAAAAAGGTACTCATTCAACCCGTTCGACCCAGGTCATCATTGTTACGATAGCCTTTGACCGGTGACCTGTTCAATTTCAACAATGCTCTACCATGGACAGCTGCAATTATCGTTCATTCATTTGCATATTGGGGGGGGCGTGTTAGGGGGTCAGATCGACGGCAGTTATCGATCGGTTGGAGATCCGTCGTATTACTTACTCTACACCCACGCTTATCAGCTAGGTGAAACATAATTATCTTTCATTCATTCATTCATTTTAAGCAAAATCATAAATCGTCATTTTTTCTAGTTTGGATCCCCGTTGGTAATCAACGAACGTGCTGGTTCGATCCATTGTGCAGTCCAGTAATCGACCCGAAATCCGAGTATTCACCAAGGTGAACAGCTTAAATTGATCTACAGTCAATCTCCTCTGTCGTAACCATGGAAAATTGCATTTTCCAATATGTTTCTCTTTTCAGTAAACCCAAGCCAACTGGATGCGTAACAATGTAGATCCACGACTATCCAATGTCACCTCCCTTAGTATATCACACTTCCTAATGTTTACTTGGTCGCTGACCGATTTACGGGCCAGTCACCGCGCCATGTTTCACTTAGTCAGTGACGTCTCATCTACACTTTTTCTCTTCAAGCTTTAACCGAAACCCGCAATCCTTTAGCCAAAACCCGCAATGATTTAGCCACGACCCGTAGTCCTTTAGCCTTGACGCATAACCTTTAGTCACACCTCTATGGGCCAATCAGATGAAAAACGATTGGAATATTCTCAGGCCAATGAAAATTATTTAAAAAGTTATTTTTTACAAATTATGATATTGCAAAGCTCGGCTAATAAGTGCGAAGTTGTGGCGATCGTATGCTGCGCAGTTGACCGTAGTAACGATATCAAATGCG